CTATTTCCCAGCTGAGTTTGCAAACATTGCAGATGTGCGTTTATTTGATCACTCGATAGATGCAACAATTTTCTGCAGTGACGTGCGAGTTTAGAAAATTTTGTTTGAAATTTGTTATTGTAATTTTTCTGTTCTTATTCGGAAAACCATACAGAAAATTTTACTTTCGACGCACGTTTTGCTTCTTCTCACGTTTTAGAAAAGATTGAGGTACTCTGGCGCAAAAAAAGCAAAGGGGCACCAATTTGTCACATTTAATTTGTTTTTGAGATATCATTTGTCAACGGTAGTAAAAAGACACCCTAGGAGCGACACCCTTAAAAAACAAAATCAATGAGTTTGCGGGTCTAACGGCCGTCCATCAAACTGAATCGAGTAACTCGATATCTTAAAATCACCGATTGAAACCGGTGTAATTCCAGCGAGTTCAGATTTCGATGCTCCATAGACACAGGAGAACGATCTCTATGTTTATTCGTGACGACATGAACGCCCCGTTATCGATGCGATGTACATTTAGACACGTAGCACCTCTTAACGGTCGAACTTGCTAAAATTAAATTAGTTTGAAAAACGTGACTTGCAAAAATCAAACAAAGACAAGAAAGTGGATCGCAATGCAAAATAAGGGAATAAACACAAGGAAATAAACAGAAATGAAAGAAAGAAATTTTATTTCCACTCTTAAGTTCTTCCTCTTGTCGAGATCACACGTATTAAATCATTAGAAAGATAAATAATTGAGTGAGGGATCAGACTTACATAAAGAGAAAAAATAAATATATAAAATAACAAAAATAATATATGTCCGATTTCTTCGCGCAGTCTTATATAAAAATATGCGATTAGTCGAGTAACGACAAATTGTTCTTGCGCCCGCAATCGACTGACTATATCGTGTGACTAGATCAGATATAGGAATTGTAAATCACTTCCAAAATGACTAGACATGCTAATTAATCCCCCTAATTTCATGAAATATACACTATATCGTATGCTTGTACGCTCCTACCGCCGTTTTACACGGATTACCCGGTTTTGCACGGGCGTACATACGCGCATGTGTGCGCGTAATCCTTGTTCAATATCGTTCATATATGAAATGCACTTATAGCCTACGACGCTCTTAATATAATCAATAATATATATTAATGAACAATATATACTTTGTGTTTTTTTTTCTTTTTGTTTGGTTTACGGATAAAATTTTGATTTTGCGCTCAATTATGTTATTACGAAGGCAATGCTGATTTTGGGCATGCGAGTCGTCAGGACTCCACTCAGGACTTCGTTATAATTTCCTTGGCCTGCTGGTTATATCGACACGCTTGGTAAACCGACTACAATTAGCATCCATCCGCAACACTTGCCAAATCATAAATTTAAATGTACAGGATGTTCAGAAAAACTAGCTTCCAAACTAGTAGGACTCTCATTGTACTAAGTGAAAAGTGCTCAGTAAAATGATGAAAATCGAAAGTCAATCCTTTCAGAGTTACAGATTAAAAGAAAAGACGGAAAAACGTCTCTAACCTGAAAGGGTTGATTTTTCGATCTATGTTTAAGCACTTTTCTGCTCGGTATAACGAATATTATGTATTCTGTAAGTCTGAAACCTTTTTTCAAACATCTTGTATAATACACAGATGCAGGAAAAAATTCCATATTAATGCCGATGTGACCGAAGCACAATTTTCAACTTTCCTCTAACGAAGGGAAATTGTTTCACATGTGCATACATTCTTGACGCTCGGCAGAAAATGCTCAAGATTTTATAAATTGGCATAATTTAACGATACAATATATATGTGTGTGTGTGTGTGTGTATGTGTGCGCGCGCGTGTGTTATTCAAATACCGGTACAGATTCGTTTGATCAAAAAATGGCATGTTTATCGATACGATTGTGGTCGAGTTTATCAGCATTCAGTGTTCAGTAATATTTTAATTTCTCTCTCATTTCGAAAAATATACCCGATTTTAATATTTCGTATTATGAGACCCGGGCCTGTCGCGCCGAGACGTCAAAGAAATTATCTCGCGCCCATCGCGCGATCGCTCGCTTATACGGTTGTACGGAAATGGATGTAGCCACGTGCGCGAAAATTCACGGTGTTCCCCGGCGTCGCTCGGATTTATTATCCGCCACCCCGTATGTACATGTGTGTCCTTCTCTCTCGCGATAATAATTAAAATCCGCGTCCCTCGTTCTGCACAGGCCATTAAATGCACAATACACGTATCCGCATGGGACGCAATTAAGAGCGGGGTGATGTGGCCGTTTTGCATGTCACCGTGCTGTGCACGTGGGGCAAGAAAAATGGGCGAGCCAGCGGAAAGCAGGGGGGAGGAAGGGAAAGGTCGGGACATTGCGCCCTCTTTCCCGTCCGGATCGTTTCGTTCTCGAACTTTTTCGGAAAAATCCCTGTCAAGGTCACGGCCTCTTCCTCGCTCTGACCTCCTCGCCAGGGGGACCAGATGTGGGGGGGGGGGCCCGTTTGTCCGGGTCCATCTCGACGGCTCGACAAAGCCGCCGAAAATTCGTTTTTCCCCAACCGATTTTTCGCTCCTTCTCCCTCCGTCCACAACGCTCCTGCGTGTTCCTCCTTTTTTCTCTCTCCTATTTCCCTCGATGGGTTCGTAATAGCCGATCGCCTCTCTCTCTCTCTCTCTCTCTCTCTCTCTCTCTCTCTCTCTCTCCACCCCTAAGGTATGTTAATGCGCGCGTGCGCGCATACTAATTCAGACGAATTTTCGGCAACGGTCACGGGGTGCGGATTCGCTCCGTTAAATGACGCGGCTCTCGAATTTCAGCTGCGCGCGGGGAAATTTTTATGGCCCATGAGACAAAAAGCAACTCGTGCCATGGAAATCGCTCGGAATAAATCATGCCGTCTCTGACGGCGCCGGATTCGCCGAATTGCCAGAATGCGTCGACCTACGACGAATGTTGCATTTCAGTGGGAATCGATGCGTCTATCCGATCACGTTATTTATAACCCACCCATTATTTTCGACAGCGGCTGTACGATGCATAATTTATCTTGCATGTTGCTGCCCGTTGATGCGGATCTCGAGAATTGCAACACGCGGGTCAGTTACAAGTATTTGCCTTTGAATATATACGGTTTACGCAGCATGTGTACAATTTTTTTTATATATATCTTGCATAAACATATAATTATGTTTCAGTATAATTTATGTATCTTAGCTATCAAGGAATATCTTTTCCCCATTGTTTCCCACTCTTTTATCGTTGAATTTTTCTTTCGTTCCCGAAGACTAGCTAGCTAGGTGTAAGTGTAAAATGAGAATTATTTAATATTTCTTCCAATAGTTATTTCAATCATTATGTCTTGGAGAAGAAAATATTTGTTCGAGTTATCGCTGGGGCAAGCGTAGAGTAATTTCACCGTGCAAGCAAGATTGTTATTTCACAATGGAATATGGATAACATCGCGCGTGGGCGTACGTTGCATAGGCGGAAATGTGCATCGTGCATGTTTGTTCATCGGAGAGGGATGGGCGAACCGCTGCTGTGCACTGCGAGAACAACGTATTTTGGGAAGCTAGGCAGGTTAGAACGGCTGCACGCTTCGCTATCGAGTGGTCACTGCAACGACAGCTGCCTTTGCGCACAGTATTTCGATCGAATTCGGGCCCTGACCGCTGCCGAGGAAGTAGCCTTTTACTTAAAACTTGGCTCTTTTACAAAATCAGTCCAACTTATAATTTACCGAACGATTCCTCAATAAGAGCCGCAATCTCAATTAGCAAATTCTTAGAAAAACACACAACAACGTACGATTCTATTTTCTGGCGATCTTTCCTCAAATTTCAAGGAAAATGATGATATTACGATGTGAAAGTTTTAATTTCTTCCTCGAGTTCGTGGAAGAACACGTGATAGACACTAGTATTTTCATTGCCGCTGGAGGTTTTACGTAGAAGTAGGATAACATATCTAAAATTATTCTACGTTGATTAAAATGGACATGTATGTCACGAGGAAATCACATTCGCGCAATACATTCTGAGACGTGAGCACGTATAGCGTGTTTCCAAGAAAAGATTCCTCGGTTATTTCCCGATTATTTCCTCGAGACGGATGATTTTTCAATTACGCGTCGTTACACGCAGCGTAAGCGATCGACTATCACGATCCGATCGAGGGAGAGCACACTCGAAGGAAACAACATTTATTCGCAACTGACAGTCTGTTGCGTCGGATATATTTATCGAGACTTGTGTCGATAAACGAGGAAGTTCGCGATAGATGATGCGTCTTTTGCTGCAAAGCTGCAAGGCACGAATTTGAAACAGCTTTCAGGGAGGAACTTTTCAGCTCGAACTGTAGCGCGTCCGCGATACTTTACCTAGATTGTGTATTTCTTAGTTAAGTAATGCGAGTTGTGTTACGTAGCTTTAACCGTAGATTAACCGTACAGTACCGTATCGTAAGTCGGGGGCCGTTCGTTCGAATATACTTTGAGTGGATCAAGCTTGGTCGTTTCGAGACCCCTTCCCATGACCAGGAGGGGATCGATCATATATTGATATCCGCGGAACATTTACGCGCGAGATACACACGCTATATCATTATATTTAAAAAGTATTTAAAGTCTATGTAATGTGTTGGCTGTGTATACGATTGTACTTTTTGTTGCGGGTTATACTGTGTCCACCCCTGAGTTGGTTGGCGATTCTCTGCACATTGATATATTCAATGCTGTCACCATTGTAGGTCATGCTCTCGCCCTTTCGGCCGCACACGGTGTGACGGTAATTAGCAACCGCGCTTAATCTGGCGCCGTCCGCCAATCTCTCGGAGAGTCTGGCGTACTCTATATGTTGTACACGATAAATACCTCTCTAAATCTTTTCTATCTCTGAAAACTCTGCTCTTATTTATATATATATATATATATGTATGTAAATATATATGTATTTATATATAAAATATTGACTAGAACAGTCGCGAAAGAAAAAGTCAGTAAGGTAAGGTGGTGCGCTTATTAGTGCTGATCAAATGCGATTATGCTCGATTTCACGCGCGAATTGGTTAATTTGAGCAAAAGCAAAACCGAGGCTAAAACAAGTGGGAAGAATGGGGAGAGGGGGGGAGGCGGTGAGAGAGAAAGAGAGGGGGAAGAAAAGGGGGAGAGAGAGAGAGAGAAAGACAAAATGAAATGCGGAGCGAAAAAAGTGGAGACCCCCTTTATGCCTTTAGGCGAGCCTGTGTGTGTCGCGCTTTAAAATAGGAACTTTGTCGATCACCCGTTCGTGTTAATTAGTTGCGATTAAGTATTTACAAGAGTATAACGTGTTCCCTACTTAGAACAATAATATAACAACCGTCACATTATTTTCCACCATCGTTTTAGCGGTCTGCCAATCTCGTCGTCCTCGGAGGGCATCTCGAAATAAAGTAAAATAATATTTCTACTATTCGCCAGGACTCCAGGACGACCTCTCCGTGTTTCGAGCGTGTGAGTGTCGATGATGTGTCGCGAAATGTGATGAACAATCTCACGTTATGCGCGACGAGTCTTTCTCATGAATGATCACCATCGCATATCATCGGAATCGTCTTCGTGATCTTTCACGAGGATAACGTTGTAGTGTGATTAAACCGACTTCCGGAATCGATGAACGTCTGAGAAGACGATTCAGAGATTCTGCGAAAATTTCCTCGCAGATGATCGATCGCATCCTCGAATATCAAGCGATTTCAGGATCAACTTTGACGCGAGATGCGAGGGCGTTACCTCCGATGTCATGTAGATGTCTGACTGCTCAAATATCGCGTTAATCGCGTCGCTTTTTCTTGCTTGGCGTCGATTCGAGTAACAGAGAGAGAGAGAGAGAGAGAGAGAGAGAGAGAGAGAGAGATTTCGCTTAATCGATAATAGGAAAGCGCTGCAAAAGTTCCTAAAAATACGCAAAAATCAGTGAAACGTCAGAGTATTACGGTGCGAATAACACTTGCCGGCAGCTCGCTCGTCTTATACGATATAAATAGGAACCGATACCACGTGCTTAGGTCGCAGATGCGGATGTTGCCACCGCCGGCGTCGGCGTCGGCGTCGGCGTCGACGGCAGCTCGCCGCTGTTTGCGAGATGCAGCCGCGAGGAATAGCGCAATTCGGCTAATGTACTCAGGCAGGGGTGAGAGTGAAGGAAGCGGTCAGGGCGTTGCTGATTCTGGACTTGACCGGCAGGTAGACCAGAGCCGGTGCGAATCTCTTCGCCGAGCTCGACTCAGCGCCCGCCTGCATGAAATCCTGTTCCTCGATGAGGAACGGTTGCATGATGGTCTTGTCGGGGTTTGAGTTCATGTCCTGCGGCATCGCGTAGCAGGCCGGCATCTTTTGCTTGTTCGCCACCTCCTTGAGAGTCTTGCTGAGTTCGGCGATCACGGTCTCGGTCGGGTCGCCGATCGCTTTGTGATCCTTTCGCACGTGCTTCTTGATCCGATTCAGATTCGTCGTCGCGTATCCGCATTGCGCGCACTTGTACACGCCCTGAGGCGTCACCTGCACCGCGGTCTCGTCCTGACGTTGGTTTCTCGCAGCACCGGTCTCAGAGACACTCTGATCCTGACCAGCCTGAGGACTGCATCCCGCACGGTCGTCCGCTTTTACGTCCGGATCGTTTCTCTCCTTGGCGTCGCTCGGTTTCTCCATGTCCGGTCTGAAGTTGTTCGGCTGCTGCATCGGCTGCTGGAATTGCGAGAGCAGCGTGGGGAACTGATGCTTGGTGAGCAGGTGCTGGTGAAACAGTTCCGGCTGATGGAAGTCCTGCGAGCAGATCGGGCACTGCAGCGATCGGCCTTCGCCTTCGAGGTTCTCCTGGGGATTCACGTGGAATCGCTCGTGAAGAAAGAGGAACGGCAGCACAGGCGTCGTGAAGTTGCAGAAGGAGCAACGGTAATTTTTCAGCTGTTCTTCGGACGACGACCCGAAGAGATTCGAGAACACCTGATTGCCCAAGTTCGCGTAATCCGCGCATTTCTGCTGCGGCAACTCGAAGCCGTTGGGGATCTTCAGATTTGAGGATTGTTGGCCGATACTCTTCGCCGAAGAGACGCTTTTACCGGCCGTTCTGGCGGTTGCTTGATACTGTTGTTCCAACTCGCGCCATTTGTCGATTCCTGTTTTGCCATGGTCACCCATCAGATGGGCCTTCAGCCACTTGACGCTGCGAAATCTTCGATTGCAGATCGGACAGACCTCGGTGAAGTGGGTGAAGTATCTGTTACTGAGGTCTCCCAGCTGTTCCGGCTTCAGCGCCGACTCGTCCGCGGCCGAAGCATCGTAAGATACATCCTGTCTATTGGTCGAGCCCGAGGTGTTCTCGTCGACGATACCGTGAGTGTTGTGCTTGTGCACGCGCAAGAAGTACTTGCTGCACAGCTCCTTGTTGCAAATGTTGCAGATCACGCCGCCTATCTGCGCGCCGTTCTCAATCTCGATGCCGTGCATCCGTTGCATGTGCGTCTTCATGAAGTACTTGTTGCAGAGCTCTTTGTTGCAGATCTCGCAGTAACTCGACGTGGGCGTCAATGACGTCACTTTTCTCTCCGTTGTCGTCGTCGTCGTCGTCGTCGTCGTCGTTGTCGGCGTCGTCGGCGTCGTCGTCGTCGTCGTCGTCGTCGTCGTCTGGCCGCTAGGGATTTGACTAGTTGGCGTTGAATTGGCGACCGCCGTCGGAAGTGCCGGCAAGGCAACGACAGCTGACGCGACAGGTGACTGATGCTCCTCGTTGATGTGTCTTCTCAGTGCCTCCTGGCTGGGATAATCCTTCTCGCACACTGTGCAGAAAATGGCGGAAATAGCAGCGGGCGACTTGTCCCGCGGCGACGATGGGATCTCGTCGCTCGTGGCGCCGTGCTCCGTCGCCATATGAACGCGCAAGGCCGACCTTGAGTCGCACTCCTTGCCGCAGACGGCGCAGGACGTTCCCCCCTTGGCCGGGTCCAGGCCGTTCAATTGCAGTATCATCGTCTGCAGCTTCTGCAGGTCCTCGGAGATGGAGTCGGAGGTGGGTCGTGGGTCCGAGCTATCCGGGTCGTATTCCTGCTTCGGTGAGCCTCGCTCTTCGCCTTCGTGCATCTTCTTGCAGTGCGCCTGGTGTAGACCTGCCGTTTGGAAGCGGATACCGCAGGGCCTGCATTCGTGTTCCTCGGAAGTGACACGGTCGTTTGACTCTGAGCTCGCGGTGCTCTCGGCGACGATCAAGTTCAACGGGCTGGTTTGCACCTGATGCCAAGTGGCGGTCGTGCCGGGGTTGCCGGGTGACTTCTCGTTGTCTTGCACGAAGATGTTGTGTCTCTTCATCTTGTGCGTGCGTAGGAAGTATTTGTTGCAGTACTCCTTGCCGCAAATCTCGCAGAACGCTTCGGGATTGATCACGCCCAGGCGACGCAGACGCTCGACGTTGAAGCCGGAATCGCGAGCTTGTTGAATGGACTGGGGCGACAGGTGTCTGGGTGCTGGCATGAAGCTGGTGTCCTCCTGCTCGACGCCGTATTCCTGCTTGAAGAGCGTTTCTATGCCGCCAGGACTGTCGCGCGGGGTCTCGCGGTCCTCCTCGTTCTGCGATAGAGACACATACTGATCCGACTGATCGGCCGACTCGTTGTGAACCTTTTGCTTGTGCTTCCTCGCGGACTCTTCGTTGCGGAAACGCTTCTGGCAAATGTCGCAGGCGGCGCCAGTGGTCGGCGGCGTCGCCAGCGGCTCCAGCTTCACCGTCGTCACGTTGCCGTGGAAATTCGCGCCGAACACGACGCCGGGCACGTTCCCCGGGTCCATGGTGCTCGCCGACATGGTGCTCGCTGGCGAGTCCACGTAAATGCCGTGCTTGTTGGCCTTGTGCGTCTTCAGGAAGTACTTGTTGCAGAATTCCTTGTTGCACAGGTCGCAGTACGCGTCCGGGTTGAAGATCCTGATCGTCGGCGTCGGTCCCAGGGATGACTTCGGGAGCTGTTGGGGATCCGCTAAGGAGAAACTTGGTAGAGGAAGGTACTGCGCGAGAGCGCCTGGGAAAGCCGAGAGTGCCTGCAAGTGATTCGTCATCGTGGCGATCTGACTGACCGAGCCAGGCCACGAGTCCTCGCCCTGCGCTTGCATCTGCGCCTGCGACTGCACATGCTGACCGCCGGAGGTCAGCCACGTGGCGGTCGAGGTGGCGAAGTTCTTCACGCTCAGGAGACTAACGGGACCTTCGGTCTGATCCGACTGCTGCGTCGGTTCTAACTTGATGGCGACGGAGCCCGGCGTCGCCTGATTCGCGGCGCCGTGCTCGCCGTCCACGTGGACGTTAAGCGTCTCTTTGCTGTCGAAGAACCGGCCGCAGTGCTGGCAACGGAACTCGTTGTTCAGGTTCTCGTCTTTCGAAGACGGCGGGTGTTCGTGTTGTTGTTGTTGTTGTTGTTGTTGTTGTTGGTGGTGGTGATGGTGGTGATGGTGGTGATGGTGATGGTGATCATGGTATTGGTCGTGGTGATGGTCGTTGCTCGGCAACGGCGATCGCGACGACGACGGCTTACCTTCGCTGTCCTCGTCCTCGTGCTCGTCCTCGCGCTCTTCCTCGTGCGCGCCGGTTGCGAGCCCGGACGAGAATCTTACCGGTGTGGTCTGTTTCCGGCGCTTCTTGGGCCCGGTCGGGTCACTGTCGCCGCGCACACGCTTTCGGGGGTCGCGCTCGCCGCAGCTCGAACCGTCGCTGTCTAGCTCCGCTGCCTCCGCCGGCATCGCCGTCGCCTCGTGCGACGTCACGCTCGACGACATCGCTCGCTGGGTCTACGCGACAAGTCTGCGACGAGTCCCCAGATATTGCCGGTCTGGTGAAAAGAAAATAGATTTCTCGCGTTTCAAGAGAGGACGCACTGGACAGCCGCGAGCCGCTCTTGCGAATGAAATGTTCACGAGCAATTTTGCTAAGTACGGAAGACTGTGTGTGTGTGTGTGTGTGTGTGTGTGTGTGTGTGTGTATCCTGTCTGAGACATCTTTCGTTCCTCTCGACTTGAGGCTTTTCACAGCACACACAGTTGTAGACTATACAGGGTGCTAAATTTCAAACGTAACAGGTAAAAAATCTCGAAAACTATGAAAGATATTAAAAAAAGCTAAAACACGTGCTCCATGATTTCGACGGGGAAAGAGAATGGCATTATCAGTTTTTTATTTGGAGGGAATTTTCAAGGTCAGTTGAAGGTCAACTTAATTTTTAAAAAAATAGAAAGCCCAATTTTTTATTATATCCTCTTTTTTTTACCAATTAATTTGAACAACTTTTGTCTGAAACATTTGTTCATTTGGCTAATATTTTTCGAAATATTCAAGAAAAACTTGGTAACTTTTTCAACATTTAACTTACGATATCTCGCTAACTATTCGTCGAAAGAAAAAATAGTATTAGACTTTTTTTTTACTTTATTTACTATCAGGAATATATTATTATAATAGCGGCCTAACTTTTGTTAGTTTAATAATTTTGAAATTTCCAAAGGTCGATAAGTTAACAGAAGTTGAGGCACTATTATAGTAATATATTCTTAACAGTAAATAAAGTACAGTAAATAAAGTAAAAAAGTTTAATACTATTTTTTCTTTCGACGAATAGTTAGCGAGATATCGTAAGTTAAATGTTGAAAAAGTTACCAAGTTTTCCTTAAATATTTCGAAAAATATTAGGCAAATGAAAAAATGTTTCAGACAAAAGTTGTTAAAATTAATTGGTAGAAAAAGAAGATATAATAAAAAATTGGGTTTTCTATTTGGAAAAATTAAGTTGACCTTCAACTGACTTTGAAAGTGCCCTCCAAATATAAAACTGATAATACCATTCTCTTTCCCCTTCGAAATTATGTAACACGTGTTTTAGCTTTTTTTAACATCTTTCACAGTTTTCGAGATTTTTTAGTTACTGTTACGTTTGAAATTTAGCACCCTGTACGTTACGTTTGTACGTGTTATACCTACGCTGTTAACGATATTGAATTCAATTGAACGTTTAATCCGGAGATAAATCCGAGTAAAACTCGCGTGGATATAAATCCACGAGATACGACGAGATCTCGAGGACGCGGAGGATCGCGAATGTTCGCAGAAAGCGACATTAATTCGGCAGGAAGATCATAATGATTTCGCTCGGCGGAGCTGGAGCTGAGGGCTGGGGTCGGTTAACGAGCACTTCGTGCTCCGTAGGAAGACGCACGCGAGACTTGACGAACGAGACACGGCGGGATACCCTCGCGCGCGCGATGGACATGCGGTCTCGAAAAAGGGAGACGCGATATCGAGGGGGAGGTGGAGACACCCTCATGACTCATATCTACGTCCACCCCACGAGCGCATTCGGGGAATCCGGAGGAGAGAGAGTACGAATATGCATTTCAGAAGCGCGACGTAATTACTAATTCAGGATGACAGCCGCGTATCGCGGTAAAAGCGGTAAAAGCCGTACGGTCAGTGAACCCCCGACGATACATCCGCCATTGTCCGGCCTGTGCGTGATACATGCGTGAGAAAGATCGCGTGAGCTGCGTGTGCGGAATATCGGAAAGTTCAGAAACGTTTCAGTGATTCTTATGGTTAGACTCTCTCCGTTATCGTGGTGGCGCGAAGGGAATATATAAATTGTGCGGAAACCCGACGACCCTCGTCATCCATCGAAGCCGGCGCGGGCGCTTCGTGTGAATAATGCGCCCGCTTTCAAGTAATTTACCTATTAATTCACGGACTTTGAATATTTACATTCTACACGTCAATTTTCGTCGTTGCAATGTCTGGCAATGCTTCGATTCGCACGACCGTCACGTGAATGTTTGAAATCGCTTCGGATATCGGAGTCGCGATAAGATACATTTCGTTAATTCCTCACCCACGGGCGACGCAGTTTCTGCTCCTCGAGATCCCGAGCGTCTCCGTCTCATGACCGTTGAACCATGGAAGTTGCTCTCATACTGAAACGAGACACCTCGCGAATCGCACATTCGTCACCGTGATGAGTCACGCATCTCCACGTCGGGCATCTCGATTGCGAAAACTTTGCGACGTTTTACAAACTCGAAGCAGCCTACGACGGTACGATCGCTTCGCCTCCCGCGGCCGCTTCCTTCGTCTTCAGACGACCGAAAGTGCCGCGTTATTGGCACATGGCGTCGTCGGGGGTAAGTGAACTCGAGCGAGGACCTCGGCTGTCATTGGTCAAGTGTGTCCTTATTGGCGAAGATATTTCCATCTTCACGTCGTTCCAGCTCTCCCCTTCGAAAGTGAGGGCTCGAGGTCGCGCCGCGCGCGCACTGCAGAATTTTCATTTAATATCGACTCTCCGCGGAGGTCCGCGAACATGTAGGACGTTGGAAAAGGACCTCGCGTCTCGAGGTCAAACGGACGGAGGGCAACGTTAATACGAGACGACGCGAGACCGCTGGATTCAGGAGGAAGTGAGAAACTCTCTCTTGGAAACGAGCACGGGCTGTAACGCGGGAGAGATCAGGTATTCGCGTGCCTAATCCGCGGCCCTCGGATTCCGCCAGGTTACTGTTAGGTATGGGCACGATGCCCCACGAAGGGCCTGTCACGCCGTTTTCGTCCCTTCCACCTTCGGAGAAGCGATACAAATCTCCCCACCTCGCCGGCGCCCCGGTATTGCGTTTTGCTGCATTCTACGGCTAGATGGTTCGTCACATTATTTGATCCGCGCCAACGCGGTTAAGATCGCCTCGTGCGAGAGTAGTATTTCGACGGAACGACTGTGAGAACTTCCGGCGATATTTGCGCGCAGACAATTGCGAAGTAGACAATTTCGATCGGATTTCGCTACACGATTAATCAATCTCACGTGGTTTGGAAAATTATGCTTTTTGCACGCACGAATGCAATTATCATCGGACGCTTGTGTGTAATTATCATACACACACACACACACACACGCATGTACGGCTGACTTTATTATTCTCGGAAGACATCGACCTCGTCGAATCGGAGCAGCTGGAGATTACGAGGGTTTTCCGAGATGAAATTCGTGATACAGGATTTGTCGCGCTGGCGGAAAATAATAACGTTTCTTCGTACACGTCAGATAAAGACGAGAAGTTTGATGCTTCAACGAGCGTCGCTGTTAATAACGCATTAGCGGTGCGGGTCTTATTGTTGTTCATTGCTCACACTACCAATCGATAGGAAGCCAACTTGACAGCGAGCAGCGATCAAGTCGTAAAGGACCGTGTTTTCTCAGCTCTTGTGGTCAAAGGCTATTGTAACACATTGATGTTCTTACGATCGGCAAAAATCGGCGCAAAAATGCGTGTCATTTCTCCGCCGTATGTTATCAGCTTTGTTATCAGCTGCATTGTGGACTCACACGCGAGAGGAATTACTTCTTGACGGCGAGTGTAACACGTACTGCTATGTAATAAATACCGACGTGTTACCTCTCCGATTGTTTTCACAGGTGGCTCTCGTTGGACTTGAAATATGCCGATTTGCTCCGGTGACTCCGCCGATATCGTCAAACTGATATAATATGAAATTGAATATTTATTGATCTATATGATTCATCGACCGGTAATTGATTAATTACGAAATGAGCGTACACACACACACACACACACACACACACACACACACACACACGTGTTGTCCTGCCGCGAGCGTGGGATTAAATAAACACGTCTTTCGGCTAATGCGCGTCCGGGTATTCCGGTCGCAATTACGTCCAGTCAACTCGACAACCGTTTCACGGCTTTGTTTTCCTCTCGTTCCCGCGATTCGACGGATACGCGGTTTGCCGCGCGTAAAGAGAACAACGGTTATTATTCGCAGTTGGCGCGCGTACGTGCGCCGACAGGACGGAAATTGGATTACGGGAGGGTTGTAAAGCAATCGCTGACGCACGCGAAAGAAAGAGAGAGAGAGAGAGAGAGAGAGAGAGAGAGAGATCGGAAGGGGGCTTCCGCGCGAAACCCGTATATTCCTGCGCAACCTTTGACAGATTTTCCAAAAATACGCGTAAATACGCCCGTATGTTCGCGCGGGGAACGAGGCTCGCCGCCGAAATTGAATGACTGATCGAACGAAGAGGGGGTTGATCCGAGGGGAAAGGGAACAGTTTGCGAAAGGGTGTCGGGAAAAACATGTTGTTGGAGATGCAGGGGCGAGAGACGGGAGAGCAAGACGTCTCCACCCCGAGAATTGTAATATTATTACGGGGGCGACTGTTGCCGATTTCCTCCAAATGGAACGGCTGACGCGCGGCAAACAACGTTGCATTTTCGCGAAATAACGAATGAACGTATGCGGAGTATATTTCGCCGACTACTCCACCGCGACTGCGACACCGACCAGCGAATAAAAACTGTAATGAAAACTGCACGATGTTGATGATTTCGGCAAATGTAAAAACGCAACCATCCGCGCGCGCGCGCGCACACACACACACACACACACACGAAGCGACTCGACTGTGTCGCGGATGGAGAACGTGGTGCGCGTTGCGTCGGCACATGAAAATGCCGTGCGATATCGAAATTTTATGACGGGAGGGTGAAACACGCGACTATCAATCATATCCGCTCTATTTTACGATTCGGAGATAAAGGCAAATAACGTTAGGATGCTATACACTATCGGAGATAAAAGTAAACGAGGACTCGCGAGGAGAGCGAAGTCTCACGTATATCTAAAGGGATATGAAACTTTGTTATTCAGTGTTATCCATCTCTTCATTTTCAAGCCGTAAAATCCAATGACCGCGAAAACACACACACACACACACACGTGGCGCGTTAGGCGGCGAGACGATTGCGTGACGTATCTCGTCAGAGAGATTTCATCTCTCTCGGAATTTGACTTACGATACACTTTACCGACTCGTGCAAGAAAAAGACATTATTGCGATGATATCTGTACAAAAGCTGATTAAAAGCAGGTGGACGAAAGCGAGCGAAAAACGGCGAATCAATCGAACGCGACGCGAAGCGATAAAAGGCTGGGGGACATCAAGCGGGCCCAGAGAGAGAGAGAGAGAGAGAGAGAGAGAGAGAGAGAGAGAGAGAGAGAGAGAGAGAGAGAGAGAGAGAGAGAGAGAGAGAGAGAGAGAGTGGCGGAATCGATAGCGGCATGGACAGTGAATTATGAAAGCGCCGCACCTCTCTTTCTCAAAGTCGAAAGAAAAGCTCGCGCGAACTTTTCTCGCGTGGATTGGCCCGGCGCGCGCGCATTCTGCGTGGGCGTGTGCGACACACGCGGCTTCGTTTATGTGTGATTTCAGTCGAGGCCTATTGATCGAGCGGCGAACTTCGGCGGTTCGCACACGCGCATAAGTCTTCCCGTAAACAAGACAAATATCATCGCGCCAGTCTTGAAAATCCACCCACACCCGCGCGAACCCTCCCTTCGTGCTGGAACGTCCGACGCGATTCGCCACCGGTCTCGAGGATCGACGCTGTCGAGGCTTTCAGCGAAATGTCGCTTGTTAGCGATTACGACGGCGCGGACGACTCTCTCGATGCCGTAAAATATAATATATGGCGTTTTGCAGACGACGTTTCAAGGTTCCGCCGCGGCTTCCGCGGCTGAGCGATGATGTTCCTGCAGATTTCGGGGGAAAAGCACGCGGATTTGAAAACTCTCTTCTTCGTGAAAGTATTTCTTACGTGCTTATTGCAGTAACAGTAAAATAGGATTAGGTACACGCGTACATATGCCTGAATATTTATTACAAAACTATGAATATTTCAACCGAGAAATAAATATTTTCCTTCAATTTCCTTCTAATTTTAGCACGATTCTTGGCTTGCAATTGTTGGTCTTGCCAAAATTTAGTTTAATTTTTAAAATTTATTTTACCAACGTCTAAAGAGCTATAATATTTGCGCATTAATATAACATCACAAATGTGTTTAAAAAATGTGTAGTAAAGTATCGTTGTAAGACGAAAATACACCGTTAAAATCTTTTGAATCTTTTGACTTTAAAGGATTGAACTTTACTATCTAATTTTTAAAATTGAAAGAGCACTCTTTCGTACAAATTAAATTTGCGACTTTAAGTGAAATAAAATTTTCATCAAATCAATATTTCTTTCTCGAGAGTACGTATATAAATAGCGGAAAATCGGAAACGCGTGCAAGGAGCGCGTGCTCGCTCGAAATCACAAATCATGCCGGGAGAATCGTGAGCGAGACAGCGACAACTCGCTCAGTGACAAGCCGCAACGATATGGTAAAAGGTGTGATTCGCATAAAGGTGGGGATCGCGGAAGGTCGGATCTGCGCAATGCGTGTCGCCGGATGAACCACGTGGAGTATTCGCATGCAAAAGACGTCGGCGAGAGTACCGGTCGGTCGGTACTTTTAGTTCATCCTGATAGGGGAGCGGTGCAGTATCGTTCCGCGCATTCGGCAGCTCGTGCTCGCTCCGACGATGGAATTCGGCAAATCCAGGACACGCGCGTCTCAATCGCGGTTTTCGCATTCGTATGAGGAAAAACACCGCTCGGAAATGTCGTTTCGATCATTCGCACGGAGGAGAGCAATGCCGTTTTATGCCGCGTCGTCATTTGGCTCGATCGGGATAATTGACGGGGTAATTGAGATAATACACGCCGGGGACGAGCGCTTTTATACTGTGAGGAGATTATCGTGTGACAGTAATCTGTCATTCGAGTGTCAAGTCGTTCTGCTTCAGGAGAAAATCGTGGCAATAAAGTTCCAGATAGGTCGCGCTCATGACGAGCGAGGTTTACACTTTGCGACGTTCGATCGACCATCGTTTAGCGTATATTCGAGTCGGGGCGACAAATTTGTCGAGTCGAGCTGTAATCAAGTGACATGAGGAGCCGAGACGAATCGCGCGGTGCAGTTTTGGTGAGTTCAGATCTTGACGGTATCGAAATGCGATAATTATTATCGCGCACACATTCGTGTGAGCTGTGTGACACGCGCAACGACAGCTGCAATTTTCTCCCGTATTTGCGTGGCATCGCAAATTGAACTCAGCAGGACTACACCGGTTTGAATCCTCGATCGATATACGTGGCACACTGTACAGCCGAATGAAGCGCGTAATCGCGGATAATCTCGATCGCCGGGTATGAGAGAGGTACTCACCGTGATCAGCAGCGTGACTCGTGAACGCGAAACCACCCCAGAAAATCGCAACTCGTCGATCCCTCGTCGCTATCCATTTGTTAAGCACCGCTGAGGAGGCTGAGGACGAGAGTGATAGTGCCGGCGATAACGCGACGATAACACCACTTTGTTCACTGCGCACTGCAAAGCCGAGAGCAGGGTGGAATAATGGCGAAGATATCGCGCCTCGTCGATAGCGAGGTGGCAATAATTAAAGAGCGAAATGGGAAAAAAGGAGAGAAGAATGTCATGGCGGCGCGACGATACGGGGTGAAAGGATCGCCCGCGGCCTCGGCTACTTACTATTGTTTTGACCATCGTGCCACGATGGCGGCCATACTTGATATGAGAAAGTATCCCCCACATTGTCCGCGACCATCCACTAATTCCCCCATACACCCCCGCGCTGATTCAACCCTCCAGCCCTCCGCGCTCCGCACCTCCGCGCCCCGCGTTCCGCGATTCGACGTCCCTCCCTTACGGAGTTACCCCGCTGCCTTCCTGCCTGCCTGCCTGCCTGCCTGCCTGCCTGCCTGCCTGCCTGCCTGCTTGCTTGCCACCCTGCCACCCTGCCACCCTGCCACCCTGCTTTCCACCCCCACGTCCTTTCAAAGTCAGGGCCGACGCCTGTCTACAAACGTGGAGGGGTTCACTTTTCTCCTTTTATACATCTTATATATATTTTACCGTTGAAAAAATGTTTCCAATGTCGCACAACACCCCTTGATAAATTTGTAAGATATTTCAAGACGGCAGAATCGCATAATTTTTCGAGTGATTGTCGAGGTATTTGTTTAACGAATAAATAACTCACTTCTCAAGCGAAGGAAAATGTTTTCTTATTTTTCTTCGTCAAGAATTACAGAGACATTTCGAAGATATTTACGTTTCCCGTGATCGCATATACGTATAACGACGTCACTCTGAAAGTTCACATCAAACGTGTATATCGCACACGAGGAACATTTGACATATGAAGTCGAAAATGAAAGTACACGCAATACACTTGCATGGTGCGTGATACATACTCACCGGCCGCGCCGATGTGCTATATAGCCACATATGTGCGAACGAAGCGAACGTCATCGGGAAACGCAAACGTCATCATCAGTGTGAAGAAATGTCGTTGCCTCGGGAGCTCGGGGAGTTGGGCGAAGGCTAGCCATCACTGTCACGGAGCTCCTTCGTCGAGGCACTTCCTCCTCTCCCGAACTTACGCACCTGCACACACGTGCGTCGAGAAAAAACACGCGCACTCACACACTCGCCCGCAAAGTACGAGCGTCCTCCTCGCGACCCAGCACGAGCAGTCTTTTACCCCAGTTCACAGTTCCCCCTCGGGTGGCACTGAGGTCTTTTAAGGGGGACGAAAGGGCGGGGGTGTCGGAGCGAAAGGGAAAGGATGTTGAGGTTGCGCCTCGGGGAGA